TTTTCCTCCCGCTTCTCTGGAAGTTTTGCGTTGGTTCTCTCTTTGCAGGAGTGTGGAGTGGAACCCCCACGCCTACCTCCGGGGTGTGTTTTGAAGTCGGAAAAAAAAAATTGTATGGTTTCTGAGTGGAGGGAGGCTTCCTGGTTCCCCAGGCAAATTGGCTGCAGGTCGTTGGGGAAGGAGGCGGCGCAGTTGGTTAACCACCTGTGCGCAGTGAGCGGGGCTCAGGGCCTCGATCGAGGAATCCCTCGCCAAGCCCGGCCGGCGCGGCAGCCCCAGCCCCACGCGGGCTGCCTTCGGGCTCGCGCGTGTTAGGTAACACGCGGGCGGGGTTTGGACGCCACCCACTCAGTCCGCAGCTAGCGGTTTGGAGTCCAGGTTGTACATTCAGAGAACCTGGGAAGGGATGTCCACTCATCACCTGACTATCTGCAAGGCCTGGAGCAACTAACTTCACCCACCCGCCCTCAGTCTCCATCTCCTCACCTGGACGTGGGACTGACACGGGAACCGCGTGGTAGGGTTACCTAAGTCTTAAGAAAAGGGGAAGCTCTTCGCGCATGCCCCATATCAGGTGTGCGGTCCGTGTTATTGATATAAAATAGTAACTGTTGTTGATCCATAAGCATTTATGGAGCTTGTACTGATGGGAGAAAAGATTACCTCTCGGAGGCGGTATTTCCGTGCCCGCCCCTCCCACTGCCGCCTGAAATGAATATGCGCTCACTGTCTGCCAGGACAAACAGGGTTCTCACATACATGCCTTCCCTGGGAGGGGCGGCTCCTGAAACGTTAACGAGAGAGGAGACCAGTAGGAGTGCCTGTAGAAAAAGCCAGCGACTATTGTAGGACATGTACGCAGGTGATATGGTCTATGTGGGTGTTTCTTTTTTTTACTTTCAGTTTTTGAGGTATAAGTTCAGTAAAGTGCACAAAGCTTATGTGTACAGAATGATGAATTTCTACATATGTGTGCACCCATGTAACCGCCACCCAGATCAGGACATTGGCGCTCTCCAGCTTCCTCGTGCCCCTTCCCATCCAGTGTCCCACGAGGGTGACCCCTGTTCTGACCTCTATCGCCATATCTTAGTTTTACCAATATTTGAACTTGATATGGGTGACTTACACAGTGTGTGTACTTTGAGGTCTGGCTTCTTACACTCACTAGTGTGTCTATGAAATGCGCCCATGTTGTTGCAGGGAGCAGTGGCTCATTCTTTCCAATGCAGTGTATTATTCCAGTACATAAATATTCAATAACTCATGTACTCATTCTACTGGTGGATGTGTGGTTTTGCCTATCACGAATGAAGCTGCTTACAAATAATCTTTTTTTCCAGTTTGAGGTATACTTGACAAATAAAAACTGTATATATTTCAAGTGCACTACATGATGTTTTGATATACAGTGTGAATTGATCACCACAACCAAGCTATTAACATATCCATCATCTCACATAGTTACCGTGTGTGTGTGTGTGTGTGTTGAGAATGCTTAAGACAAACTCTCTTAGCAAATTTCAAGTAGATAATACAATGTTATTAGCTATAATCACTATGCTGTATATTAGATCCCCACAACTATTCATCCTGTTTATACCCAGGATTGAATTGTAGAATTATAGAGTATACACATATTAAGCTTTAAATAGACTGCTAAACAGTTTCCCAAAGAGGTATCACAACTTATATTCCAGCCAGTGATATGAGATTTCCGGTTGCTCCACAACTTTGCCTGGTATGGTCAGTTTGTTTACTTTAAAAAAGGGGGTGTGGATTCCATTGGGATTTAAATGTACATTTCTCTAATAATAATATTGAGATCATTATTAATAATAATTAATATTCAGATGCTTATTGGCCATTTTGATATCCTTTCAGTGAAATGTCTGTTTAGGTCTTTTGCCATTTTTGGGGGGGTTGTCTGTCATACTGATCTATGTGTCCTTTGTCCAATACATGTATTACAGATATCTTCTCCCAGTCAGTGGCTTCCTTTTAATTCTCTTAATGTTATCTTTTGACGTAGAGAATTTCTTAATTAAAAAAATCTAATTAATCTTATTTTTATGAGTAGTGCTTTTTATGTGCTGTTTAAAAAAATGTTTGTCCTACTTAATAGATGGCCTCTAGGAACTTGATTGTTTTAGCCTTCACATTTAGGTCTATGATTCCTCTCAGATTAATTTTTTGTGCAGCTTGGGGTCAAAATTTATTTTTCTCTCATGGAAAAAATATACAGTTTAGTTCAGCACCAACAACACGTAGTTTTGTTGAATGAATGAATGAATAATGAATGAATGATCGAATTGCTAAAAAATGCAGTTAGGAGTGACTGGTTACTTAAAATGCAGATTGTCCAAAAAATCCAGCATACACAACCACCTTAAAATGAATGCAGATTATTATATTCCGTTGGCCTTTGGACCATTTCTACTTTTTCAGTACCTCATGGATGCCATTAGCACAGGTAGCCTCAGGGTAGAACACAGGTCAGGAATTCTTACCTAGAATTTGATCTAGCAGGGGTTGGTTGGTTCTACCTTTGTTTGGATAAAATTTTGTCCAGCTTCCTGACCATTAGGCAATTTTGTGGTAGGTACGAAGGGAGAGCCACGAGCCAGAAAAGAAATTCATTATCCATATGTGTGTATACATTTATCTTTGGGCCCTTTTTTATTTCTGGGGCATGACGACTTTTCTAGAATTTTGTTTCCATTTTTGTGTGTGTTTTTTGTTTTTTAAAATACACAGTGTTCTTTCTACCTCATAAAGCTGTAGCACCCTGGTGCGGGGAGTTTCAGGAAGTCGCCAGGTACTGCCCACTGGCCGTGGAACCACGTATTGAAACTGTCATTCCGAGGTTATCGGGGCCTCCTCCTTGCCCCATTCTGGCCTCAGCTGGAGCACATCCAATCAAAATGGTTTCAAGACCTTCGCATTCTGAGTGCTGCTTTGATCTGCACCTAGGATTGCCAAGGAAAGAAAAGCAAAGGCAGGAAAGTCTTCAAAATGCAGGTTGTGCCTCACTTGTGGCCACGACCCTGAAAAAATTTTATGTCTCAATAGAATTTTTTTTTAAAATATATTTTATCGATTTTTTTACAGAGAGGAAGGGAGAGGGATACAGAGTTAGAAACATCAATGAGAGAGAAACATCAATTCAGCTGCCTCTTGCACGCCCCCTACTGGGGATGTGCCCGAAACCCAGGTACATGCCCTTGACCGGAATCGAACCTGGGACCCTTCAGTCCGCAGGCCGACGCTCTATCCACTGAGCCACACCGGTTAGGGTAGAGCTGCTTTTTCTTAAGTCACCTCGACTTCCTGGAGGGCTGGGCACCCCCCTGCGTCCGTTTCTACTATTAATCCTTTTTGTAAGGCAAGAAAAACCTCTTGTTTAGTGCCCAGCTATCCTCATTTACCAGTTTAAGTCTGGAGTTTTTGTATTACTTTATCTCTAGGTGGATCACCGTGCTAAGTGTTTATTAAATGCCCTGGTCCAAAGATCTTTCTAAAAATGATTTTTAAGCAAAGTTTTTTATTGCTCTACATTGCCATATAGAGCATGGCATCCAGATCATAAGAGCACAGCTCAACGATTTCCACAAACTGAACGAACCTGTGTCCTGAGCACTCGGACTGAGAAACGAAGCAGCAGCGCAGCCCGTGTGGCCCTGCCTGGAGCCTCCACGTGGTACTGTCCCCTTAGCCAGGCTCCGGTGGGCGAGGCAGGGCCTGCTTTCCGCTCCATCTGGAACTCCCAGCAGTGAATCCCGGTCTCTTCCCGGGCTTCTTCCAGCCACTGTTCTTCTTGGGTGGTACAGAAAGAACACTCGTTTGGGAGTAAAAAGGTGTAAGTTTTTAAAAAAATGTATCTTTTTATTGATTTCAGAGAGGAAGGGAGAGGAGGAGAGAGAAGCATCAATGATAAGAATCATTGATCGGCTGCCTCCTGTACACCCCCTGCTGGGGATCAAGCCTGCAACCCAAGCATCCTGACCAGGAATTGAACCGTGACCTCCTGGTTCACAGGTCGATGCTCAACCACTGAGCCATGCCAGCCAGGCAAAAGGTGTAAGTTTTATTTGGAGCAAAGCACAGAAGGAATGAGCCAAGGACTGGTCAGACCTGATGGGCAGGGAGGGGGAAGTGGGCTCGATCTTTGGGGCAGTTCTGACACTAGAGACATTGGGGCACCAGGGCATCAGGAAGGGAGGAAGATCAGGGCCCAGAAAGGGGAGAAGGCGATGGTGGCACTGCCGGAGGAAAGAGGGTGGGTGCTGAAGATGCTGTGCTGGCTGCACGCCTCTGAGGGATGTCTCTGGACCCGCTTCCTGCCCACCTCCCTAACGGTGTCCCTGGAGGAAGGGGGAGGTTGGGTCAGATGGCTTGCATCCCTGTCAAATGGCTTCCCGATCTGAGTCTCGGCTTCCTCATCCCAAACGGGAACGGTCATTAGCCTCCCTGCTCCACGGAGGTGTGTGCTGGTCAAAGAAGGTAGTGAACCCTGCAGGCCCTGGCCCCGTGCACACAGAAGCTCCCTTCGCCAAACGGGGCCCTTTCTCACGTTACTGTCAGGACAGCTTGGCAAGCAGGTGGGCGGAGAGGAGGGGAGGGTGAATGCCCCACGCCTTGCTGTGGCGACCGTCACTTCTGAGGCCCCAGGTTTCTTATCTGAGGATTAATGCTTTCAAATCTCCCTTCAGGGAAAAGGGGTTCCGTGGACGTGTAAATTGTTAACGGATCACTTCATATCTGTGACCAACCCCTGGGGCCACTCTGAACCTGCCTTACATTGAGGCCCCGGATGTCTCTCCCCAGCTGCCAAAATGCCGGAAACTCCCCCTCCGACATCCATGTCTGCTGGAGAAGAGACCTGCAGT